ATTACTGCAACCTTGTTGTGATGAAACAACATAATAGATAATTGCATCACATATTAATGTACCAATAGAGTAAATAAATGTGCTTCATTATTCCTTGATCAATAAAAAAAACCTTAAATTGCAGTTCACAAATTCTATAAATATTCCAATCAAGTTACTTTTTTAAAATTCTTAATGTCTTAATAGATTTATTATTAATGAATATATATATGATATTCTCAACTTTTGATATTGTCTTACATAAAATTCAAGTTGGAAATGCATTTGACATGTGGATGTGAAAAAAAATCTATAACCTCCAATTATCTTACAATCAATAAAAATGCTTAATAATTCCCTTCCTGAAAACCTTAATTTTTTTAATAAATTTTAATCAAAGTAATCCTATATCATGTTTCTTATATCCTATCAATCTTAAAATCCATATTCTATTAATTCTAAAACATTTATCTTACCAATCTTAAAGCTAACATCTTATAAATCTATAAACCTTTGAACCTACATATTAAAAACTATAAAATATAAATACTTTTAAATCCTAAATCTTACTTTATATTAATTTATAAATTTTAAAATCTATCAAAATTTATCTTCCAAATCCTTAAATTCTTGAAGAATCTTTAACAATTGCTAAGTCTTCTCTCAACATATCATAAAGTCTAACTCTTGAATTATGATAGGCATCAATTCCTAATTATGCCATTGAATTAGCTTCAATTTTTTTATAAATTATCTAAGTTATGTATATTTTTTAAAATTAGAAAAATATAAAATATATAAAATTTATACACATTGAAGTAAAACCTCTAATTCTAAATCTTTGTTTTTAACTTCGAGTTTGTTAAAAATTTAATTAATAAAATTTTATATTAATTTTTTCTTTTATTTTCTTTTTCAAATTAGATATGTAACTTAATTTTAATTTTGGATATTAATAACTAAACTCTTTGCTTCAATTATTTTATAAATCTTTAGATAATAAAGAATTTACAACAGAAGTTTAAAAAACTACCTAATTAAAACTTTTAATCTCTTCTCACAAAGCATATTTATTAGAGATTTTCTTTTGTGCCAAGAATTATAATTTCAATCCTATTTTACATATGATAATCTTTTAAGTATCAATTTTATCATTTCTATTTAAAATTTTGCAAGAACCTACCCTTAACTTTGTCCTTAAGATAATTGAATTTATTTTCTATCAATTCTATTATATTTTGACTCCTTTATGGTTCTATTAAGGCAATATAAGTCTATTTAATTCAAAAGGTTATATAGATTATTAATATTTTAGCTAAATTCAATATATTAGCAATAAAAACTTAATATAATAGCTATTAAGCTTTCACTTAAGTTCTTTCTAAAAATATTCGACTTTTTTAATATTTTCAATAAAAAATTATATTAAAATATAATACTAAATATTACAAGTGAATAAAAGTTTAAAACATATTTACTAACATCACTTCGAGGTCAACAACTTAATTATCAAGACAAAGTATCAAAAAAATCTATTAATTCATTTGCTTGGCTTATAACATATGTTTGTTGGGTCAAATAAGATGCTAGAAATGTACTAATCTAAAAATAATTATGTTATAATCTAATCATAATATAAAATAATAATTATCTTTCTACAATATTTTTTGTTCCAATAATAAGTTAAAAGCATGTAGATTCAATTAATAAATAATAATTATATTTTTATTAATTTTAAATTTCTTATTCGTAGAATTTTTTATAACTTCGAATAATTAATTCAAGCAACTATTTTTCTTTAAAAATCTTCTTTAAAGTCAAATAAATTAAATTATTAGAAAACTTTATATTTTATGGCAACATGGCATGTACTACCTTTAAGATAGATATCAAATATATATTAATAATATTTACAATATTTACACCAAAAGCTTCACAATAACTATTAAGATATTTATATTTTTATATAGAAATATTTAATAAGTAAGATTGTCCAATACACTACTTTAGATAAAAATTAATTGAACATCAAACTACTTCAATAGTTTCAAATGCAATCAAAAATTGGTATTGTCATATCTCATATAATTTCTAATTATTAAGATAAAGATGTAAGAATATAATCAAATAGTCAAGCAATATAAACATATAACAAAAATAATTTTATTTGATTAAGACTTCAAATAAGTAGGATTTATTAACATGAATTTTTTGAGCAATTTTGTGGCTTGCTCAAAATTTAAACCTCCAAAATAATAAAAGATTCTCTCTAAGCACTTAAATATATATGCATCTATATCCATAATGGTCTTATGTCTCACATGATTTATATTTATTTTAACATATTTAATTATTTTATCTAATTTTAAATATTATATTTTTTATAGTTATTTATTTTAGTTTTTTACTTAATAAAGTATTTTTTATGATTGAAGCTAAATAATGTAATCACAAAATAATACCCTATTACATTTTAGATTGCTAATTGATTTTTATTTTTATTTGTTCCATACCATCATTTCAATAAAAATATTATTTTAAGTATAATTTTGAAATATCTATTATTTGAGGAAATTATTGTAGTATTATTTTAAGACATAAATTAGAGAATCAATGATTACCAATGTATTTTTTTTTAATAATTAACGTATTATTTATCATTTATTGCTTCAGTTTATTTTTATTTTGTACATATATTATTATTATTATTATTATTATTATTATTATTATTTTCTTACATATTTACATACTTTTGTTGAATTATTGAGATTTGTAAAATTACATATTTTTATGTAATTTTTACACTATTTATGTAAGCTAATTATTATAAAATTATTCTATTGATGGAGTGATGATGTATAATATTTAAAGAGTAATATTAATTTTTTAATTATATTTAAAATATATTTATTCATCACAAAATTATTAGTTGTATATATATATATATATATATATATATATATATATAGATTTGTCAATACATATCTATATATATATATGTATAATTTGTGATTTTTGTTATATACTTGTTTTTTATTTGATAATGTTGAAGTTTATCTTTAATAATCTATTTATTTCATAAAATCTACAAAGTATTCAAACTTTCTTTATTTGTAATATGCTATATATTGCAACATTAAAATTTTATGAATTGTATGAAAAATATTGATATTTTAAAGTCTCTTTATTTGTTTTAGAAAAAAGTATTTTAATCATTGAGAGGTTAAATTTTATAATACTTCATATAATATATGTTACTCTTAGTTGTTGTATCTTTAGATAGTATTATTTATTTTATTATTACAAAAGCATTTTTTTTAAAGGACAATTTTAACAAATACTTTTATGTAGTACTGCTCAATACAAAACTTGTGCTTATATGGAAGTTTTTGTTTTTCTACTTAAATATAGCTTTAAGTATTAATTTTATAATTTAGTCAAATACCAAATTTGTATTCATATGGAAAATCATATTTAATGACATTGTCATCAAAATGTATTATTTAGATCAAACATCATAGTTTTTGTACACTTATCTATTCCATCTATCCAAATTAAGAGTGTCGAAGAGTCTTTAGTGGCAATGTTCCATTCTTAATCACTACACCTCATAAATAATTTATGGCTATTGTTACAGTATTGTAGAAAATCAAGTACATGTTACCTTCTATTATACTACAGTGTTTGTAATCTTATAAAGCATGTGTCTTTCTTCTATATTACTTGAAATGTGTCTAATTGTTCATTTTGTTTATTTTTAACTATAAAAAGTTCACAGTCTTGCCTCAATTTTCACTCATGATCAAATCTTGTTTGTTCTTTATTTATACAAAGATAAGTCATATTTTATTGATATGTGCATGTTAAAAAGTGATTAATATAATATCTGTATATGTTTTTGTAATTGCCGCAATAGTGTCATGACACTATATAAAAGAAAGTTTCACAACACATACTTTTATGATTTTTAATACATACATACATACAGACCTACATACTAAAAACAAGAATCGTATTTGTCTAAATGAATGGCATGTAAAAAAATTATGGAACTTAATTATAATTAACCATAAAAATATTGTGTGTGCATATATATATATTCATATATACATATATAAATACACACAATATTCAGAAAATTTATAAGTTACAATTCTAAATTTAAGAAATATAAATATTTTTTTATTTATGCATTATAAATAGAATAATACAATGTATTCACGTATTTTTAATTTTGTATTTGTTTCATTCAAATGCATAATAAACACATCGAAAAATACAGTTATTCATAGATAGCTTAATTTTTAATTTAGAAAAGAAAAGTAAAATAGTTTATTTCAAATCTAGAATTATGGTAAAAAGAAAAAAACAATGCACGATGGAAATACTTGATGATATCCTTTCACGTTTCCATTTTTTTCTGGATTAAAACTTATATATATATATATATATATATATATATAATACCACTAAAATCTATAATCAACTAGTTAATCTAACCAGTTTTCAATTACCAGTGAAGGATGTTAAGAAATAGGAGAAGATAATTTGCGTCAATGCTATTCTATTAATAATAATAAACACATTATTAAAAAAAATAGTGTAACATAAAACACTGTTCAAATATCAATATTTGTAGAAGAAATTGAACACATTGTACTACATTTGCACATTGGTCAAAGTGATAACAACAGTAGTATATCTGATACAAACATACATACAAACATACATACAAACATGCACACATATGCTAATTTTTTACTCTTTGTAAATTTGTTTACCCATATTTATGCTTTAATTTTATTTTTAAAGATTCTTCCAAAGAGTTCAATGTTAGTTCAGAAGATGAATGTAGTCGAGGGATGGCATTCATCCACGGCCTTACGCTACCCTCGGATACTTTAATAGAGAGTTAAGAGCGTTCATCAGTGCCTGGACTGGCTTTGCAAGGCTTGCTGCAGGCGCAGGGCCAGGCCTGATCATCGCCGTCTTGTCTTCATCTTCTGGACCTCTAGGTCATCCGCAGGTAGCGTCCACGTTCTCCAGGTTCCTCACAGTTTTACGTCCATCTCCGTCTCGCAGACCGAGAATCGCCTTGTTGTCACACATCTACGCCGCCCTGAAGCTGGTGTGTGCCGTTTGCGCGAACGGTCCAGTCAGTGTTTTGGAGGCGTTCTCCAGAGGTCTAGTTGCGACTCTCGACGTTGGTATGTAGAGTGGCTCGTAAAGCGCGTCGAATTTAATGGCGTAATGCGCATCATCGCATGTCGACCCAGTGGACTTTATTGCTGCTGGTAATCGATCTCATTTCCCACAGTCGGAGCTTTTAACCCCGCGAATTCCCATGATGGAAGTTGGAGTTACTTTTAGAGGCTAGGGCAGACTGGAGACTTGGAGCGGCTGGTGCTCTGCCGTTTCGTCTTGAGTCTCTGGATTTCCGCTTTGCATGCAGCGAGCCCGTCGTTTGGGCTCATGTTGCAGTTTAAGTTGTATGAGTTCGAGAGTAGACATTAGCTGCAGAGTTCTGATGTACTGGATACGACTACAGTTCTGATGCTGTAGTTCGCACCAGCGTTCTGACTCGCATTGTGGAGCTTTGGTCAAGGCGCAGTATTTGTGCACATATTATCCCTATCACTTGAGCATTGGCATTGACGGTATCAACAGCGGATGTGGCCACTGAAGGTTCTGCACTGTACCAGATGGCTCGGACATGCTCGAGCGTGGACCTCGGAAGCCCCATTTTGTTTTATTCATTTTTGTTTTCTTTTTTTGATCACCGTAGACCTGTGACATGCTCCTGACTTGAATTGGCATGCAAACTACTGTAAGCCGTACCTCGAAGACCCCTGGTTCAGCTTATCGTTTCAGTAGACGTTGCTTCATTTTCGGCAATCCCCGGGGGTTGTCCAGTTCGCCTTGATTGCTGAGCTGCACCGCTCTTGCTACCATGGTGCTGGAGGAACGACCTGGTCAATCCTGAGCTAGGGGCTTTCGGCTACTGGGGACTGAAGCTCAGGTTTTCAGACTTCTGGTGCCGACATGTCCTTCCTCGGTACGTTCCAGCTGCAGTGAACCTTCTGTCAGGAGGATCTTAGTGTTCTGTGATTTACTTGCATGGTGAGGCTAACTTCTAAATACAACGTCCTAGCTCACCTATAAACTGCCTCGGGCAGTACTTAGTTCCAGCTTGATAGGTTGTATGCTACTCCAGTTGTGTTCATTCCGGAGCTTCATCAAAAATGGAGTCAGTGCAGAAAGAGGAGTCGGGGTTTGCAGGCAAGACTGTTAAAACATTCATGTTGTTCATAGCATGGTCATTAGCGTTGGTTCTGCTTGTTAACGCGAGCCTCACAGTAGCGGAAAAATTTGAAGTATTGACTTCAAAATTTATCGGCGCAAGTCTCTTCAAGGGCATGCAGTTACCGTTGCATGTACAGGCCAGAGTAAGCAATGTTAAAAGTCATGAAGGTGGAAGAGTCAATGACATGAAATTGGTTGCAAACCTCAAGAGGCTCAGCCGAAAGCTGGTGGGTGGGAGTAAAACAGAAAAGAGCGGATTCAAAGTCAAGATATTTCACCGCAACTCAGTGGAGTCTCCTTTCCGGAAAAAGTATGACAGTAAGTTGCAGGCATTGGTAGAAGATATGGCCATCGATGAATCTCGTCTTGCTTCCTTCCGTAAACAGAGGGGCAGACACAAATTGTCAGATAACGATAATGGCGCACACAACTCTGCCAACCCTCCGGTCATAACCGCCGTGATCGAAGGCCCTCCTTCTCACGACCACGATTTCCAGTCTCCTGTCGTGTCTGGCTCCACTCTTGGATCTGGTCAGTACTTCGTCGATTTTTTTCTGGGCACCCCACCGCAGAAGTTTTCCCTCATTGTCGACTCAGGCTCCGACCTTCTCTGGGTTCAATGCGCTCCTTGTCTCCAATGTTATGCACAGGACACCCCTCTGTATGCGCCATCGAACTCTTCCACTTTCAACCCTGTGCCCTGTCTTTCTCCGGAATGCCTTCTCATACCGGCAACTGAGGGGTTTCCTTGCGATTTTCACTACCCCGGAGCCTGTGCGTACGAGTATCGCTACGCAGACACGTCCCTCTCCAAAGGCGTGTTCGCCTACGAGAGTGCTACTGTCGATGATGTAAGAATCGACAAAGTGGCATTTGGCTGTGGCAGAGACAACCAAGGTAGTTTTGCTGCAGCAGGAGGTGTTCTAGGCCTTGGACAGGGGCCTCTCTCTTTCGGATCGCAAGTTGGATATGCTTACGGTAATAAATTTGCATACTGTCTGGTGAACTACCTCGACCCGACGTCCGTGAGTTCTTGGCTTATCTTCGGCGACGAGCTGATTAGCACAATCCACGATCTACAGTTCACGCCTATCGTCAGCAATTCCCGAAATCCTACATTATACTACGTGCAAATAGAAAAGGTCATGGTTGGAGGCGAATCGTTGCCTATTTCACATTCTGCTTGGAGCTTGGACTTCCTCGGCAATGGCGGATCAATTTTCGACTCCGGTACCACAGTTACATATTGGCTACCGCCAGCTTACAGAAACATACTTGCTGCTTTTGATAAAAATGTACGATACCCGCGAGCTGCCTCCGTGCAAGGCTTGGACCTTTGCGTTGACGTTACAGGTGTCGACCAACCCAGTTTTCCATCTTTCACTATCGTCTTGGGCGGTGGAGCAGTTTTTCAACCTCAGCAGGGGAATTATTTCGTGGATGTTGCACCCAATGTCCAGTGTCTCGCCATGGCCGGCCTGCCATCATCCGTGGGCGGCTTTAACACCATTGGAAATCTCTTGCAACAGAATTTCCTTGTGCAATATGACCGTGAGGAGAATCGCATAGGTTTCGCGCCTGCCAAATGCTCCTCACATTCTTAGGATGTGTAGTGGCGGTCGTCACCAAGTGGCACTCGACATTCTTGTAAGTTGACTAGGTTGCGACAAAATTATGAGAGTTTTTCTTGTTGCATTCATGTAACTTACACTTTCTTGAGTAATAACCCTTGTTTCGTTTAGTGTAACGAAGCTGAGACATTCGTAAGATCTGAGCTCGGAGTTCGCTACGGAAATTGCAGTTTTCTTCACAGCATTGGCTAATACTAACTCTCGTCGCTTCTGCTCAGTTGGTGAAATCTCGGGATGTCGACGTTGCAATGTAGTGGAACAAATGCGACGCTCTAACTTGAGTTAGGGATGAGGATAGACTCGTTGGTGTGGCAGTCCTTGGGTGTGATATCATGCCATCCACAATTTCAGTAAATGTTGCTTTATTGGCTTGATACTAGTAATAGAGAGTTGTTGCATAGTACTTCGAGGGTCATGATCTACTCTCCTCACCGTTGTGGGATACATCCGGGTAGCAATCTATCCTGTGGTATTTTCCCTCTGTTTTAATCACGACCATTTAAGACCTGCATTCATAAACCTCAAATGTCATCGATTCAATTAATAATTGACCGACCAACCACTAAGGTAGTCACGATTTAATTGATTCACTGCCTCACAGCACCACTGCGACTTCAATGATTACGCCAAAATCGATTTGAGACAGTAACTATCTCGTGACTTTGACTATGTACCGTATTGTTGTTCCGCATGTTCTAGTGAGTCTGTTGATTGAATCAGTTAATCACTTTGCTTGATGTGGAATTCCACGCAATTGCTTTGAACACGATCTGATAATGTACACATTACTTGCAGAAATATATGCCTCACGTGACTTGACTACAGTTTGTCAGAGTTCACAATGAAGTTAACACACGCAGTTGAACATTGGCACGTTATGATAGGTAACTGACGTATGTGATTGTGCAAACAATTGACCGAAGATGATGCCTTGGCCACCAGAATTACCAAGTGCAGGGAAGACTATTCTCCTGCTTTGTAAGAGTATATTCCCAACCATGCAGTTTCCGGTAGATACCGGTGAGGGCTTCAACAAAATTGTAAGCTGCCCTACCATCAACGCCAAACTCTGGGAACCCCAAGGATCCCCTCACCTTCCTCATGAGCGAGCAGCATGTCAGCAGTTATAGTTCACCAAGTTTCATGTACAAAATGGAGCCAGCTTCAGGGTTTACGGTGTGCCAATGCTACAATGTTACAAGCATACACCGCAACAGATCTCCACATCAGCCGGAGATTGGAAATGCAGCACTACTATCTGCTCGGTGGCCTACAAGCAATATCTACAGAACACAAACGAAATTCGAACGTGACAGAGAAAAGGCTGCTAATCAACGATGGTTTCCAGTAGATCGACAGGGGGGTTATCTATAGAAGCTCTAGCTTTCCATCTATCCATGCTTCAATCATCCGCTGTGTGCGTAAATTCTGGTCGCTTGGAGCCAAATGACCGGCTCCAGCCACCACCACATGGCTAAGATTTTCAAGAGTTCGGATATAACCAGCGAGCTTCCCTTCCTCCTTCCACAGTTTCCTCTCAGAAGCCCAGAAGGCAGCGGAGCTTCTCCACGCAATCGTACGCATCCATGCTTCACTCGACGCCACACCATCCTGGATGTCCCACTGGCCTTGATACAAGAGCACCGGGAGCTGAGGAAGTAAGGCCTCTAACATCCACTTTGTGCTCTTCATGATGTCAACCTGCGCAGGAAATTAATACTGAGTTAATCATAAAAAGAGTGAGACAAAAATCATGATTATTCATCTTGTACAAACAAATCGAAACGCCATGTAACTCGTTGAGTATTCTACTAAGAGCAGAGTCGAGATCAATGTAAGTTACGAGGCCTACCTGCATCTTCTCATCCACAAGATCGCTGCATTGAGTCCACGTAATATTCGTGTGCGCACCAAGTGCTTTTTTGACGGTCTCAAGGTTGACAAATGCTGTGAGATAATCCGTGCCATTTGCATCTGTAAAATAATCTACAGATTTCCTGACATCCTCCAAAGTGGCCAACCCACTCATTGCTCGAAGTATCCTCGTGAGATTGCTTCTTGCGGCTACAGCTCCCAACCAATCCTTCTTCAAAATACGTTCCTTCGACTGTAATAGCCACAGCACACTGTTAACAACCAAGCATTCTGTGACCGAATAAAACCAACGAGGCAGCTGCTGTGATTTAATGATCCTTTCTAAACGCTACCATGAGCTAGAATTTTCATCGTAGAGACAGACATTGCACTCCTTATATCTGAAAAAAGATCCTCGACATAAAATTCCATATGATGGTTCTGAAAAGCAGGACAAAAATAATTTGGCAGAAGTGTTATCTTAGACTAATATTCTTTGTTAAATACGTGGTCCATGATAATAAGAGCCTCTAAGAAATGTACCTCTTTAGCTAGGCCATCCAGAACCTTCTGCTGTTCCTTGTCAATTAAGCCCATATAGTAAGCGGTTGCCCCATACGTTTGAACCTGTACAATAGGATGCGTGAGGCCATTGCCAATAGCTATTCCCCGGAGTTCATAAGGCGGTTGCTCCGTCTTAAACAAAAGCCGCCGGGACTTGGCCATAACATAATATCCCAATGCGGGAACATACTTTCCACCATAGCTCTCTCCTGTGATGTATAGAGGCCTCGATTTGTAGTCAGGGTCGCTGAAGAAGAGCTCAAGAGCGCGGAACAGGTCCCGTGCTACGTGGTACTGATTCGTCACAATAGAGTCAGGAGATGGAGCTATGCTGAATCCCGACCCTGCTGGACTGTCAATAAAAAGCAGCCCAAAGCGCCGGTTCCAAGGAGCTGTATTCTTTTCCAACTTCATGTCCTCTGCTACCCTCCAAGGACCTAATTCTCCAAAATTTCCTATCAATCCCGAACATCCAGGACCACCCTGCATATCACGTGTAGCCATCCTGAGCTCCTTCAGTACCATGTCCACGAATCAGAGCAATGTGAATTGGGTCTAACCGATAAGAAGAGGAATATAAAATGCGTACCTGTAACCAGAGAATGACAGGGGTTTTCAGAAGCTCGTCCGAGGGCTCAAGCGCCTCATAATAAGCGTAGAATAGACTGGTTGCAGTGGCGGTATTCACGTCAAGGTACCCAGACCTCGTAGGCAGAGCTTCTGAAGGCATTTCATAATCACAAGCAGCTAAGCATGCTTGCAACAGAATCACCACCAAGACGACCCACTTGGCTGATCCTTCAAGTGATGTCGCCATCGGCAATCCTCGACCTCGCCCAAGCAAAAACCTACCTGCAATTCAGAAACTCACCCCAGATTCTCACACAATCAGATTACTAATGCAACCAGACAAACGAAATTGACGCATGCTCTGCTCCACGTTTCCCCAAACACAGACATATCGCCGCTGAGAAGCAACCCCACCTCACAATTTCACCGGTACCAGCTGTTCGGCGCTCAGTTGATAAAATGGCATCAACGACAATCCCGTTTCCGCAATATTGGACTCGCCATCACAACCCAACATTGAAACCTCAGTCAACTCAACAATTCTACAAAAAGCAAGAGAATTCCAACGAAGCGGAGCTTGTTGCGATCTGCATGTAGACATTCCAACTCGGAAATCCTCTTCTGTCCTCGGTCCTCACCCAACGAACAATACTTGCCCCTTCGATTCGTCCATTGACTTCGTTCGTCTAATTATTTCGTCTCCTTCGTCCCTTGATTTCGTGTGTCCCTTTTCCGTCCACTTCGTTAGTTCGATTCGACCTTCCATTATCTGTAAAGCTTTCAATCCTTCGGTCATAGCCGCCGCTTCATATTAAGAGCAGAAGACAATGAATTACAGAGTCAATTTCATTTATTAACAAGTAGGGGTCAGATCCAATACCTCTACAGTAATTGTGGAGGTTAAGTCTATTATACAATCAATTCTCTGTGTTTTATTGATAATAATCTTCAATTCATAAAACTTATCTCTACTTTCCTAAAAATAAATAACAAAAAAATATAACATGACAATACTCTAGGGATTATTTTAGTATATATATTTATTATCAAAATATACATGCACTGAAATACTGTTGACAGAAGAATAATGGAATAATAGTAAGAGTAAATGGAATGTTAGTCACTGTGATGTTTTGGAATTACAATACTAACCAAGTACAATACAATTTGATATTATGCCAGTGTAAAAGCATATCATACTTTTCCAAATCAATACCTTCTAAATTACACAGTTCAATTTCCTAACACAACTTCTGAATGGTATGCCAAAACAATGTCTTTGAATGTAGAGAAACAAACATGTTGCTCATGCAATTTACTTCATGTAAATTTGAAGTATAGCCTGAATTTTTTATCGAGCTGAGATGCTTTGTTTACTAGGGGACATTACAAAAAGAGAAGGACCAAACTGTACACCTTGCAGAATTCATGCCATTCCACAAGGTGTCAACAATTTCTCCCACCAATGACACCCCTTACTCCTGAATACAAAGAAGAGAATCTAAAACATCAAGTAAAAAATACCTAAAGAAGTCGAAGAAAAAAGAAAATGGGGAAACATTGCTACCCATGTCATGACCCCAGTACCTCCACCCATACCTTAGTACCACATAAACATTCCCTTCGTAAATGAACTTCTTCCCTCCCTTCATAACATGTTACATTATGCAAAAACAGAGAATAGATAACTCCTCTGTCAGATTCTCAGGAGTTCATTCACCAACCTATTCTACTCCTCTAATTCCCTCAATTGTGACCTATTGTGGGCATCAAAATTAGACAATAGATTTGGAAAACAATGAATCAATGCACGTTATGACATTGAACTGTTTATTATCTTTTCCACCACGGGGATAATTTACAAGGCAATGAAGAGGTGCTGCAAGTGCCGTGTTTGCAGCACCGAGCTCTACCCCAGTGAACATGCTGGAATGTTGTACAATCGATCTGCATTTACATCTTGTCCTAGATGGGCTGGTTATTGAAGGATGTGATACAAAACCTTGAAAAGCTGTCTACGATTGACTCCAGAGTTTTGTTTTCCTGCCCTTCGAGAGACCTAAGCAGCGCACAATGCAAATTAAATCAATCAACAAATAAATAAACAAAATACCCCACTCCTCAAAGAGCCCCTCCAAGCTATCACACGGTGTTGAATAGTGAAAGAGGTTGATATGAATCTGATGTTCTGTTCTGGCAGGTAGGAGATAACCCACCTGTAATTCTCCTGTACCGAGAAATAGTGTCAATGCTGCGAGCTCAATCTCTTCACAAGATATGGAATGCCTGTCAAGCTTACCGAATCGATGCTGATGCGTCCTTCGTTTATGCTCGAACTTCATATAGATCCCGGTTCTAGGCATTGCAATAGCTATGTCCACCTCCAGAACCATATCAGCAATGGCACCCAGTTTCAGTGATGCTTCAGTAAAGACCTAGACAAGTCCATAGAATATAAACAAAAGATGAAGTTATTTCGTCTCAGAGCTACTCAATTTTCTCCGAACTTTTTCTCTTAGCGTTCTGCGTGTGAGCTCCAACAAACCTGCTACATTGTTCTTCATAGTACCGCAGATGCCCCAAGAGCAAGCGTCGCAAACGGCTCCTCAACCAGCACTCCAACCTCCTCGATGCACAACAAGGCTGCGGCGTTGAAGAAGACGGCAGGGATTGTGAGCCATCTGCACTGATCCCACAGCCCTGATGGCAGCGCTATATGCCATATGACCAGGAATCTTGAAGTGAGCCTCGTGTACGACAGTGGTATCGGCGTTTTAAAAAGCCTCTCACATGCACCAACATTGTCATGGAATTCAGTCAAGTTTTTGTCTATGCTCGATCTTTGCATATCAGTCATAGTGCTGCTAGATACAAACTCCGACATGATTTACAACACGTCATTCGGTCGATGAGATGCCGCCAAAAGAGATGCAAGCTCTAGCTCTTCCAGTAAACCTACCAATTCTTTCTCCAGATTTGCACCCTCACTCACATGGCTCTTCAACATGTATGGGGATGTCGCTGCCTAATGCAAGCAGCTCTGCAATTTGGATCCATCGGCAGAAGAGCCCATGAAAGTTAGGGCTTTCCTGCACACGTCTTGAGATCTGTTTACGTTCATGCCCCACACCTTCCGGGCTTCATCGAAGCTCGCGTAGGAGGCATTTTTCCTGAAAACGAGCAGAAGTGCAAGTGCGGGGGCTGTGAGGGAGAAAGGTCTGCGCTGAGATAGCTTCATTGTAGAAGGTGACAAAAGCTGCCACGCCTGTGAGAGAGAAGACTGGAACCCCAAGGGCTAAGATAACCCTTGAGGACACAATTGATGCCAGATGCCGCCCGTGTCTGGTACTACTCCGATGTCGAAGCCAATCGTCATGGTCCAATACCATCCTCCCCTATTCCATGGCCTCCTCCTTCTCCCTGTCCGCCACAGTCGGGTCCAGATAGCCACCAATTAGCTTTGCACTTGCACCAATTTATTTCACCTTTCGCGAAGGTGCCGGACTTCTATCCTTCCTCAACTTTGAAGGCGCCAGAAACTCCATGGAACAGAGGGAGACCGTCATAGCTGTAGCCATAGGGGTTCCATGGAAATCTCGACTCGCCAACATCACCATCCTGCGGCGATCAGAAAGCTCATGCGCGGCGCCAATCATGTCATGAATTCGTCACGAATTCTTCTCACTCAGTTAGTATTCTCCTTCTGAATTAATCTCAGCAGGCTAACCGACTCGGAACTCAAACGAACGGACTACCCGAAGTCAGCACTACCAGCCACAACAAGCTTTGTGCTCTATACACATGATCAATCAAAAGTTATCTCGCTCACGGACGTATTAAAGAATCCATCAGATCAAAATAAAATAAAACAAATCGAACAAACAATCGAACCGCCTGAGGCTTCTTCATACGCACAGGCCAGCACGATCGGCAGCAAACAGAGGACTTCATCGCCGCTACATCAACAAACAAAACTGGATGGAAATCTCTCTGATCGAGTGCAACTGGGGCTTAGAGGAGATGCTGAGATTGATGGGCCCGCGATTGTCCCCATTTCAGCGTGCTCATTCGGCGTTCGCGTGGGCCACTGGGGCCTGACCTGGAGGGTTATACGTCCGATCGCCATAGCTCACAGCTAGCTGCAACAAATCCCCCAAAACCCACAACTGTTATGGAAATGCAAAGCCGGTAGATGATTGGGTAGCTCAGCATACTCGATCTCTCATCCTTCCCAACACTTATCCATGCGTAACCTCCGTTTCGAAATTAAAAATCAGTTTTTTTTTTTTTTTTTTTTTTTTTTTTTTGTTCGGTGACATGCTGAAACAACAAATTACTAACCACCCTTGCGCTTGTGCCTTAGTTTTCGGCCGTTTTTGCAACATGGGTTACAAAAATCACATGACAGTAGTATTTTCCTTCACACAATCTCGATTCTCTTCTTTGCTAGTTAACTCTTCATTTCCTACTCCAGATGAAAACTTAGTATGGAGGTTTTCAACGCTGTCTTCACCAGTATCCCACAGGATGCAAACTCCTCAGCCCTAAATTGCAAAACATTGACATGTGATGGATTCAAACACAGATTGTACTACCAAAATGGTGGACAATTACTCTCTTCCACATCACCCAATACTGCACATGCTTCTTCAAGTCTGCTTCTTCAAGTGTGGTGAATGGATTTTTCAATCAAATGAACTCTGCCAAGTCTGTTGAATCTGATAACACTTGTTGGAATGCAAGTGGGCTTCATGCTGGCGTGTCCTTGTGGAAAAAGTTCCTCACTGCGCCATTACTACATCACTTTCTGAGATTATAGAATGCCAATTTAATCATTTGATAATGAGACTTGGATGCTTTTCTTCTTTCATTTTTTATTTTTATTTTTTTTGTTGTCTTTTAATCGGTAATGGCTTGTTGCAGCACAGTTCCGAAGCAAGATTGTGAACATGATAGCATAGTAGAAGCTTGTAGATATTTTTCTTTTTTCTTTTTCTGGTTGGGGGTTGTAGTAGCGTAATTTATGTTACAATAATGTATTTCTAAATTTAATAAATGAACTATAGAAATGATTTTAGGCCTTTTGGGACAAGTCAAATACAGGTTGGGCACTCTCTTAGGAGAAGTGAGGGGGAGAGTTGGAAGATTTTCTCTACAAATGCAATAAATAAATATTCAGCAATAACCTTCAATTTTCCATTAAATCCACCTTTTGACCTTTACTATGGATATTTGCTATTATTTTTTGGATCACCGAGTCCTCAACTTCAAGTTTAACAATCAATCATTGTCCATCATAGTTGGTTTGCAAGAAATACAAAGAACACTGGTTAAAATATGAATTCAAATTTTACGATTGTATTATATTTTATGAACTCTATGATATATTGTAATGTATTGAATAGAAGTAGCAAAACTTGGGAAGAACTTACTATCTTTTGATAAAAAGTAATATTTAAGTGAAAATTTATCTAAATAACTCTTATATGTGTAAATAATTAAATTTTTATTCGTTTTTATTGCATGAAAGAACAATAGCTTCTTTAAAGAACAATAGTATCTTCAAAGAAGCACCAAAGTTCATTCTTCATCTCTATAAGTAACAATTATAGTATCACATTCTTTTTGAAGGACAAATAGTTACAAAATTTTAATCACTAACTAACTCTTTTGTAAGTGAAAACATTAAAGGTACTTCTGCATCATAGCTCACCCAACCACATTAATATTTTTATTGGCCTTGTTTATGATATTTATTATTTTGTTGCTTCAAGTTTTCTCTCAAATTTCCATAAAAAATTTTACACTTGAATTGTATGTTTTTTCAAAGTTTCTTTGTAATATAACTAAGAAGAAACCATAGACAAGAAGGTGTTAGTAAATATTTTTGGAACCATGATTATTGAACACATCTTTAGTTTACCAAAGCATGAAAATCCTTAGAAAGATATGTCCATGCAATCAAAGTTTGTTGCAAGGCCTAGTAGAATTGTGTCACAAAAACCTCCCAACTCAATCCACTAGCTCAGCCATTGATCACACTGATCCACATTTTATACAAAATGGATCATGGAACAATATCTTCTACATTCCGAAGATCGGACGGCTGGGATGCCTCGGTCTTGTCGGTAGAGTTGGGAGGAATCTGCAACACGTAGACAAGGGTTGTGAGGAGGGGGATCTCGAATTCGACCGCGTCGAGATGATCCAATCTCTAAACTGCAGACACTATCTCTCTGCAAGTTGTGTTGCAGCATCTACCACTTGCACCGCCAACGAGCTGTAGGGTTTGGTCGCGACTCTCTCTCCACTCCCACTCGCTGTGCTTCTCATCGGCTACTGCACTCACCTCTCGATGTCTTGCAAGATCGCAACAGCTTGTGCGTCCTCGACAGCGTGGGTTTGCTGAGTTCGCTAGTGAGAGTAGCGAATAACAGCGTCATTCTCGCAAATATAAGTATCTGTTCTTGGCTTTTCAAGGCCTGTAGTCCTAGATGCTAGGTTATTGTAAATGAACCACACTGCAAAGTCAAAGAGTGTCACTCACATCAAAATCTACCTCCAGATTACGTTGTATGTCTGTCTTTCCATTCCCAGGTTAGATTGTGCTTGAAAGCGACTTAGAGAACTAAGATGCAAGTGCTACATTGAATGCTCTCATTTATATCAGAGCGGAGCACTGGCCCTGCCTAGTTCTAAGGAGCTTTCCATGAGAATCGGGTGCGTGCAAGATGGCAAAGTCTGTCTACAAGAGCATATTCAGTCATATGGCGACTGCGGAATATGGTAAGTTCCGCTCATTTAGGGATGGATGCGTGCAGGTAAGCGTAGTTCGAGCATCAGGTTCATCTCCAAGTGATGTGCGGTTGCACTCACAACATGTGTACGAATGTTGTGATATCCAATTTGATGTTCGGTTCTCTTTTCCTTGACTAAGTACAACATTCAGGTACAGTTTCCTTGTTTTGTTTGTCTTTACAAGATCGGAAGACCTAGCGCTGGCACGATGTGCCGAATGACGTGGTGATTGTGGTCTTCACGCAGCCGACACTCCTAAGCAGTTCCTGAAGCTCACCAAAGAATGCAGTGAACGAACTCAAAAGATGACTACGCCAAGTGCGTTTTCCAGCCCACCTAAAGTCAACTCTGAACTGTGCAAACATCTAGCTGATAAGCTGAAGTCGGCTGTCGAGAGGGCACAGTCGTTCCTCCACAGAAGGTTTCTTTCCCTTGAGGACAAGGCAAAGTATATCGATGCTTTCAAGCTGTTTTATGGTTTAGCTAACATGGCAGTGAAGGTCATCCGAAGTTGTTGCCAAGAGGAATGGATTCAAGCCGCCTTTCTGATGACGAATGTGCCGGAGCATATTCTGTCAACAAGTTTTGACTTGGAGATGTTAAATCATTTCTTTTCTGGAAGCTTGACATCGACGGAAGTACTTGAGAGTATTTTCAAAGCTGAAGTTGCAATCGTCAACATGAAGGCATCACATGATAGAGAGTCGTTGGTAGGGGATGTGTATGCATTGCTCCGGAGAGGTGAAAGTGGGAGCACGGAAACGTACCGGCTGGCTTCTCTTACACTTGAGAAGCTTGATCCCCAAAGGCAGAACTTGGGAGGCAGCTCATCAGGGGCATATCGCGTGGACATGGAGAGCTTGAAAGAGATGGAGCAGTTGGGAAAAGGTTCCTTCGCTACTGTGTTCAAAGCAATGTGGCTAGGAGTTGAGGTTGCCAAGAAGACGTTCTATGCACCAAATTCCCCAGATTTTGAGAAGGAAGTGTCAATCCTAGCACGGCTGTCTCATCCCAATATCGTGTCCTTGCTTTGTTATGCAGAAGGTAAGCGGGAGAGCTGCATGGTAATGGAGTTGATGGATGGTGACCTTTGCGGGTTAATACAGAAGATCATGGCAAAGGACGAACATCGCGGTAGTCCATTTAGCATGTTGGAAGCAGTTGATCTCATGCTTCAAGTTGGAAGAGGCATGGAGTACTTGCACGAAATGAGGATTGTTCACCGAGATTTAAAGGCGATGAACATCCTTGTGAAACAGGTGAAAGGAAAAGACGGTAGAAGTTGGTATATATGGGCAAAGGTGGCAGACTTTGGGTTGTCAAAGACGAAACACAACAGTGTAACTTACAGCAACCAGACTCTGAATACGGGGACAACACGATGGATGGCTCCTGAGATGATAAAAGAAAGTGTAAATGAAGGGCAAGAACAAGTGTCAAATGTCGGCATGACAGCAAAGTATCCTTTTGGTGGTGACGTATATAGTTTCGCAATGGTGTGTTATGAGATTTTGACTGGAGATGTGCCCTTTTATGACATAGCACAACCAAATGCGGTGAAGAGGATGGTACTGAAGGGTGATCGTCCTGGGCTACCATAAGATTGTCCAACTTCATTGGAGCGATTGATAAGGAGGTGTTGGAGCCAAGATGCAAAGTGCCCGGCCGCGGTTCGATGAAATATGTGTTGAATTGCGGAATGTGAAATGTCAACTTCTCAGATCATTACCCCATTGCGGTAAATTGGTTCATGCTGTCTTACTTGTCTCTAGTTTGTTTTCTTCCGTCCGGATCATTCTTGTATCCCTTGTTTTATTATCTGTTGAAGTACGTTATAAGATCAAGTTGGTCGTGACTTGTTTATGAAAGTCGCCAAATGAAAGTGAGCTTTGTCTATCATGCCACATGACTGGCTGCATTTGTTGATTTAGTCATCCGCAGCGGTCACGAAGGGTATTTGTCTTCGGAAGTTGGATTCGCAGTGGGATTTTGGTATTTGTGCTGTATTTTTGGCCTCAAAAATTGGGAAATCCTCCGTGAATCTCTGACGTTATTAATCGGCCAGTACTCGCGCTAGCTCTCAATGTATCAGATGTTGGAATTGCATCCCCTAAAGGAGTGACGGCTCTATGAATAAGAACATTCTCTGGCTTCACTGATGCGCACATGCGACATGTTGAATGACCTGGATGGTTTACTATCGCAGAATTAACGACTCAAGATCGGTCGAGCCATCATTCAATCAGCAGACCTAAGTCCCCAAGTCCTGGATTCGAACAGGGAAGGACTGGGGGAATGGTGAAGTTTACAATTGCTGAATTGAAAAAAATTACTGGTAACTTTTCCGAATCTCACTTGATCGGAGATGGAGGAAGGTAACATTGGTTGAGGGCTTTGTGATGGGATTCATTACTGTGAAATGTGGATTTTTCTGGACCTGTATTGGTTTTATCATAGTTTATTTTACATGTACCGTACTTTCTATGCTTGGAATTCTGAAGAAGTGGATGTTTTCCTGGTGTAGGTTGATTTTGAGGAATTTGAGTCCGTAGTTGAAGTTTATACTCAACTGGAGCACATGAACTTGGTGAAGCTGATAAGCTACGTGGACGTGAAGAATGAGCGCCTTCTTGTGATTGAGTATGTGCCGAATGGAAACTTGAGGCAACATCTTGACGGTACAGCCTGGAGACATAGAACCTAGGTTGAATGACTTTTTTTGATGTGATTTTGAGGCCTTATTTCTCATCTACTACTGTAATTCTGAACGAAAAGTCTAGAGATATTCACTCTCTCTGTTTTGATGCCAGCATGTATCAGATATAATTGCACATCAGTTAGGATACCAAATGATGGTTTTCGCCAGTAATGGAAGTTACCCTCTTGTAACCAGCTTCACATGATCATGTACTTCGTTTCCCAAATGAATGCTGTTTTGACACAATGCTGTTTTCCCAAATGATATGCTCTTTCGGTACAACTGCCGAAGTTTTTGTTTCATTGCTCGATTCAATTTATGAGGGGCGATGGGTGTGTTTTTGTAGGCATTCCTAATGGGATTATTCTGGACATGAGCACCCGCTTGAATATTGCCATCGATGTGGCTGAAGCTCTTACATGCCTTCACTATTTTTCGGGTAACTGTTCTTTGACTTGGGCTTTGAAAATGTGTATCAAGATATTTGACTTGGACTTCTCCCTTCTAGTGTAGAGGAATATCCACAGTGCAGCGGAGATACAAAGATGTTTAGTACTGGGGCATATGGTTGCACCGACAATGTCTTCGCTACATATGTGATGAGGAAAGTGGGAAATCGATACAGTCGATTCGGTTCCTTGTCAACAGTTGACACATTCACAAGTTTTCTGCTATTTGATGTTTGCAGACAGGCCTATAATTCATAGAGATGTGAAACCTAGCAACATTTTACTCAGTGATAGCTTTCGCGCTAAGGTTGCCATTTCCGATCTTTCTCGATTTGGTCCCTCGCAAGAAGGTGCTACAATTATTATGCAAATTATGGGGACCATAGGGTATCTGGACCCAGAGTATATTGTAACGTGGGAACTGAACGTGAAAATTGATGTATACTCTTTTGGGATATTGCTCCTTGAGCTTTTCACAGGGAGGCGCCCTTTTGGGCTGAGACATTCTACGGATGAGCTACCCCTGGAGAGATGGGTAATTTTTCTTCTCTTTTGCACATCGTTGAATTTTTTTGCACGTTAATTCTGAGAAAAACAAGCACCGTGGTATTTAGGAGAGTCTTTCCTTTATATTTATATATAGACATATATGTATGTGTATAGTTTTTGACCATCTCGGAACCTGTAGAATAGGTTACACCCTACCTGATCTAGAGTGCTGTTGGGCATATTACTTTTCCACCCGAAGCACGTTCCTTACACAGTGAATGGTGCTTTTATTATAGTAAGAGCCTGATCCAGGTGAATATACGCCTGCTGTGTTGTCATTTCTTTGAGCGATTATTTTGGGTCCTTCAGTATGTTGGTCCGCAGATTTAAATGCCCTTGGGTCCTTGTGCTCCCATCTCGTGTCCAATTTTAGATCCTATATCCGCTTGCTGAACACAATAACCTACTCCCAGGTGAACGGTGTTAGAGTAAGGTTGGTCGCATGGCTGGATCTAGACCTGGTTTGGATTGATCTATCAATGAACTTTTTAATGTTGTGATCACTCGCTGGTTTTTAGTGCAATCGATCTTTTTGAAACGTTTACGTTTTTTTATTTTTTCCTTTTAGGCTTTCAAATACTATTCGGAGGGATGGCTGAGGGTTATTATTGATCCAAAGCTTCAGTTAACAGCTGCTGCTTTGTTGATTTTGGAGCGCGTATTTGAGCTTGCATTTTCTTGTTCAGCACCTACGAAAGTTGATCGCCCTAACATGAGAGAGGCCAAGGAGATGTTATGTTGCATCAGAGAAGAATATCAGCTGAGTGTAGATCGACAACAGGAAGGTTTAGAGGCAGAGTCAGAATATGGTAACTCTTAGGAGAATGGAGCCATACTCCGCGGGGAAGGCCGTCGCTATCATGGTACTCTCATGGAGATACCGAGAGTGAGAAGGCTCGGACAAGCAGGCGCCCAGAGGATAATCACAGGAGTTACTTGACCTGAGAAATATTTGAGAACCAACTGAATACAGGACTACGAGGATGAGGAGTGTCAGGTCAACAAAGAGGTCATGGGACATTGCGAGGATTCTCCTGGGGAATAGGGGGCGTTGTATGGTGTCTATGTTCCATCTTATATTCTCAATCGCTTCATATTCCCTGTCAGAGATATTCTGAGAAACGGTACAGACTAGATACCTTTTTTCTTTTCTTTTTTCTTTTTGTTTTGATTGACACTGGCTGATTACTGTATCCTAATAGCAGGTCCATCGCTTACCTGTCGAATATTTCTGTTATTGGAAACTTCAGAGAATCGTTTACGGCGACCACAGAAGGTCATGGCTCTCGGGGGCGACGGTTTGTGCCTCTGGGAGGGGCTCAGACCCTTAACGCTTCATGAATTTGAAAATAACAACCTTGAGCTGTACATCTTTTGATCCCTTAAGTACCATGTTAACTAAATTGATTGTTATTGTTAACAAAGTAGGTCGGTCGCATCTATTGAAACTACTTTCTTTCCATGGTTGGAAGTTATGGTGCATTATAAGTTTATTCCTGCTGTTGCTGCGTGACAGGGTGGGAATTCGTTGAAGGAGGTTCACCGTCAGGGTTCAGGCCAATTTTTCTTCTGATACTCTTGAGACTCAGATTCGTGCAGACGTGGGTAAGGAGTGAACCTGTTCTGCTTGAAAAGACTGTCTCATTTTCTTCGATGAGATTTGGCTGGAGCGTCAGCATTCAAAGCTGAGGTCCAGTCAGTTTGACAAGGTCATATCAGGAGTTACTGATATTGCTTTCAGATTCATGTACTGTAGGGTGTCAAATAGTTTATGAGGAGCTCAAATTGATCTATAGATGTGTCAAATGCTGATTCATGTGCGTTTCTGAGGCCCGAGTTTGTGCACAGAAGCCGAAGTGGTAATATAGTTTTTCTCTTTTGTGCAATATACATCCCTAGTTATCTGAATTTCAACACATGCTCTTAAGCGACGTGGATCAATCAAAAATCGACCAGATATAGCTCCTTCAGCAGTTATTGTTTGAACGAATCTTTGAGATTTAGTTTGTTCTTCGGGGTTTGCTAGTTTTGCTAAAGAAGCTTTGAAACGTTTCAACTTGTGACAAATGATTGTAATTTTTTAGAGCTGGGTGCGGATAACATTAGAAGATAATTGGTTATGGTCGAAAATGTGTTTTTGAAATTATTTTTATTTTTATTTTCACCTCACATTTAATTCCACAATGGCACCATTAGCTGACCACATCTGAAAGGCACCATTTTTCTCTGTTTACACAATTCACAGTTCTTTTATTATTAAGTATGTACAGTGCTTCTTTGAACACTTTCAAAAAGACTTCGTAATCTTTTGAAACTCCTCCCAAAAGTTGAAGCAAAGCTTGTTGTAAGACTCTTTTGAATAATGTTACATGGTTCTTGCAAGATGGCTTAGAAAAGAAGTTAGATATCCCCTTCAATACACATTAGTGAGAAGTTTTTTTGACTAACATTGATGAAATTTCATAACAATTTTGATCAAATAAAGCAATTACAAGTAGTCAAAAAGACATGTCTGCTAAAAATTTATGATTTGTGGTTGAAAATTGTTTGAGATAGATTAAAATAACCTTCTAATATGTTTTAGAAAGTATTATTTTCAACTAATTAGTTTATGGGCGTGTTTTTTTTCTTCTTTTTTGGAATAAAAATCAATTGTAGTTTATTGTTTTATTTAATTATTTATAATAATAAAAAGATAAAACTATTATTTTAGAGTTTATAGAACTATTAAAAGACTAATAAAATTATAGACTTTATAGCCAAAACATTCAACTTTAAAATACTTATTTTGAATTTATCTTATTTTAACAACTAATATAATTCAATTAATTATTTATCTACTAAAGAAAATTTGTTTTTAATGAATGAAAAGAAAGAACTAATGTTAAAGATCTTTTATACTTGATATGAATTCTCTTACAAAATATTAGGCTTTTAAATAATTTAATTGTAGATAATATTTTTTAGTGGATTATCCATAGAAGGTGAAAGAAGACATAAGACATGGCTCTTTGAAAAACCACTAAAGCATTACAAAGTTGAAAAGGCATGACTACATAAATAAAAGTATTCTATAGTGTAATAGAAGCAATTTTGTGATGATCTTCTTAGACTTTGGATATTTGATTATATTCCAAATATCCATTCACAAATGTATAAATTTCATGACTTGCCACTTCTTTTAAAATGATATTAATAAAAGGCATAGAAAAATGATCCTTTTGAGTGCACTTGTTGAGTTTTTTATAGTCTATGCATACTTGAAGTTTTTCATTTTTCTTTTTGACTAAAATCATAGGTGAAACTTAATATATAATCTCCATAGGTTGAATAAACCTAATTTGGAGGAGTTTTTTTAATTTTGCCTTGATAATTAATTGAAGATTGGAATTTATTTTTTTTCTTTTTGTCTTACAAGAATTGAATTAGAAAGGAGAAAGATTCTATGTTGGACTAATTTTGGACGTATATACTTAAGATCTTTGTAAGACCATGCATATACATCCCTATATTCTATAATTAATAATTTGTAACTTGTCAATTCATCCTCTGTTAATTGAATTCCTACTTTGATGAGTTTCTAATCTTAATTTTTCAAAGACACATCTATTAATTTGTAGTTAAGGTTTTCTACATGAAATTGCTCTATGAAGCCTCTATACTAATCATTTAGTATTTTTGGATAGATGGCCACATCATTTCTAACTGTAAGACTACTAAAAGTTTGTTTAAATTGTAAAGGGAGATTAAGGTCAACTTCTTCAATTATGTGCTTAAATTCTTGACTTTGAGTGCTATAATAGTTCACTTCAAAGACATCTTCAATTTTTATGTCATCTACTAAGGTTGTAACATGGTATAGATAGTTAGAACCATGTAAGTTTCTAGAATTGGGGTTAGGTTAGTCGACCAAGTAGGATCCACTATGGAATATTCTAGAAAGTGTTTAAGGTGGTTATTTAGGTAGAACCCACCACCTAAGAACATTCTAGAAAGTCTAAGGTAGTAGGACAAGGTATAAATAAGATTGGTCAAGGCCTTTTGGGACATCAGATTATTAGATATGGCTTTGGACACTTTCTCTTAGTAAAGTTTGGTTCTACATCTTTCTGTTCAGATTTGTTTTGTTTTGTTTCTGTTTTCTCAGTTTTATCTTTTATATCTTCTTCTATTTAATTCCATTTAGTTTTATTCTGATATGTTTTGTCTTATTTTGTAATGACGCTTTATATTGTTGTGGATTAGAAGAATCTTGGGTTCTTGAGATAGTCTAGTCCTATTTCATTAGTATCAATGCAAGTATTAGACTGTTTAGTTTTGGTAGCATGTCAATAGTTATCATTTAGTCCAAGATCAATTGTTGTTGTCATACTAGGTACTGTATTGAGGCTACCACAAGCTACTCTTAAAAAGTCAATCGAGAGGTGAAAAGACATTACAATAGTGGATTCTAGTAGAGAAATTATATTATGATAGATATGGCAGAGCAATCCCAGATGAGACTCAAATACAATACCTCTTAGGCTAGATTGCTAATTTGCAATGGAAAATAGAAACCTTAAGGACAAGAGAGTTGACATCTGCTAGGTTGAAATTGAATAAGCCTAGTATATACTTTGGAACTTTAAGATAAGAAGATGTATGTCAATGGCTCTTCAATATGCAACAATACCTCCAACAATCTGGGACAAATATCACTGAAAGAATCATATATGTAGCTAGCTATTTGAGCGATGTGACAGCTATTTGGTGGCGACATCAAGTTCAAAGTTATGGAGCTTAAGGTGGATTTTGTGATTGGGAGGAGTTTGAGACCGAGTTTAGGAATCAATTTCAGTCCATCAATGCAAAAAAGATAGCATGTAATTAGTTGGAAAATCTTACACAAGTTAGGTTGGTACAATATTAAGTCTTTTGATTCAAGTTCATATGTCTACAAATTGATAATGTTTCAGAGGCGGAGATGATGAATCGATTCCTACAAGTTTTGAAACTTGGGATCCAATGAGAGGTGGAGGTAAGAAATCTATAAATATTTGAAGAGACAATTTGGATTGCAGAGAGGATCGATGCTATATATTTTAAAAATTGTGGAGTATAACCTATAACTCAAAGTCCTATATTGCTATCTAATATTATGGCACAATAACCAACACTAATGGAGATCGATGCCCTACAAGGATCATTGAAAGTACAAAGACGATAAATATTGGTATAAAAGGGATTCAGTTTCTATTATTGAGAGCTAGGCCATCAGATTGGAGGTTGTCCAAAATATCAAAATTTAAGCACCAATAAGACAAGGTGGGTTCATAGTCTCAAAATTCACCAAGTCAATAATGAGTTAGAGAGAAAAATGGGGCTCTCCAGTAAAGGCACTGAGGGCTAGTATTAGGGATAGCTAGTGTCTCTTGAAGGCAAATGACATGGCCTTGGACAACTATTTAAAGAGTCGACTGGTGCATCTAATGGGACTACTAAAAGGACAACCATGTCAAGTGTTTGTAGATTGTGGCTCTACAAAAAATTGCATCTCAACTAAAATTGGTAATTGGTTTCAAATTAAAACTAAAAAATCAAAGAAAGAAGTATATACCTTACATATGACCGAGAGAATGTATTAAGTGAGACATATAAAGAAGAAACCTTGAGATTAATAAATACTTATATCTTAAGAGAGAGATTCAAAGTAATAAAGCTAAAATATGATGTTATCTTTGATATGCCATTACTAGAGGTGAGAAATAAGCAAGTTGATTTGCTAGCAAGGACAATCTCTTTTAAAGATGGAGGACGCAAGGTGACTCTTTGTACCTTGGTATCAAGTGAAGAAAAAAGACAATCTGCAACTAAAGACTTACTCGTAGGGACAACTTTTATGAAGAGGCAAATACAGTATGAGCAACCAGTATATATAGTGGTTCCAAATCTTGTGTCGATGGTAGAAAAGACAACCAAAGGATTAGAATGGACAGAACAACTTATATTAGAATATCATGATGTCTTTCTAATTGACCTATTTAATAACATACCTCTTGATCGAGGTGCCTCCTTTCAAATAGAAATATTGTATAGAGCCAAATCAATAAGTCAATCAATTTATTGCCTAGCACCAAAAAAAATTGAAGAGCTGTAGAAGATATTAGACAAATTTTAGGTAAAAGGCCTTGTTTGAAAAAAGACATTGCCATGGGGAGCACCTGTACTCTTTGCACCTAAGTAAGATGGTGGACTTTGCCTTTGCATTGACTATCGAGGCTTCAATAAGCAGACTATTAAAAATGCATATCTACTTCTATGCATAGATGATCTTCTTGACCAACTTCAAGGTATAACCATCTTTAATAAATTAGAACTTTAGAGTGGCTATTGGCAAACACTTATTGCAAGAGAGGATGTGAAAAAGATGGCCTTTTGAATGTACAATAGACGTTTTGAATAATTGATTTTACCATTTGGCCTCACCAATGCTCAAGCCTCTTTAATGGGTCAAATGAACAGATTATTTTGAGACCTTTTGGATACGTATGTAGTTGTCTTCATTGATGATATCCTTGTATGTAATAAAATCTCTAAAGATCATGAGCAATACCTATGAAAAGTATTTTATTAGTTGCAAGATAGTCACTTCTATTGCAAGCAATCAAAATGTGAAATTTGGAATTTGGAATTCACCTTTTTGGAGCATGTGGTGTCCTTTGAAGGCATGCATATAGAGCAAGATAAGATAAATGCAGTGGAGGATTAGCGAACCTCCGAAGATGCTTTTAAAGTTTGCTCATTTTTAAGCCTTGATAGATACTATTATTATTTTGTTCAATAATTTGCTCATATTGCCACCTCATTGAAAAACCTATTGGAGAAAATGCCTTTGATAAGTTGAAGGATACACTTATTACTACTCCAATATTGTAACCGTATGATTATAATCTTTCTTGTATGCTTCACATTGAGGCTTTCAACTTTGTTATTGGAGCAGTCCTTCAATAAGACTTTGGTAGGAGCCTTCAACATGTGGTGTATGAATTATAGAAGCTCAGAAGGGCAGAGCACAAT